TCCAGAGTCCTCACTCATGACTCAAGAGCTCCTCGTGATCTTACCCAGTGCTTGTGCAGTCACTTACAGACCTCCCCTGCACGCACACACACCCATGCCCGCACCCTCTCCACTTGCTGTCACGCAGAACTTTGCTGAGCTCTTTCCTGGACTACCACCTGGTAAATTTCTGCTCTCCTGTCATTTCCTCTGTGATTCCTTCCTCATCCCCAGTTACTCTCCACCTTAGCTGTGTTTCCCATGGACCCCTAAACATTGTGTTTATATGTTTATCTAACCACTAGTTTACCTGTACAGCTGCCCAACCAGAGTGTGAGCTCTGAGCTCCTGAAGGCAGGGACTGCTCTCCAGTGATCCTTGTGTCACTAGCACATGACGGACGTTCTATTATGTGCTTGGCTAAATCTGTTTTGGTTTTACTTTTTATTATGTAACTTCAAACACCAAAAGGTAGAGAGCATAGTAATGAACATTCATTAACCTATCATCAGAATTTACCAACTTAACATTTTGCTACATTTGCTTCATCTTTTTTTCTAAGTATTTTAAAGTAAATACCTGATGTTATGACCTTTTTTCATTACATATTTGTATTTCAGTACTAAAAACTAAAGACATTTTTCTACATTGCCACATTATCATGCTTAATAAAACTGACAATTCCCAAATATCCCCTAATGCCCATTCTGTATTCAGCTTTCTCCGTTTTCCCACAAAAGGTCTTTTACATCTGGTTTGTTCAATCAAGGACCTCACATTGAATATGAGGGTAGACCTCTAAGGATGTTTTAATCATTTTAAAAGAACACTTCCCTTTCTTTTTCCCCATTATTCATTGAATAAACTCCTGACTAATACCAACACCACTCCTGTGGGATGACATTAATACCAATTACACTCCTGTGGGATGACATTAATCTAGTACCAGTGACACTGCTTACTAAATAGTTGGGATGGTGTTGAACCTTTATGTTCAGAATAATCATATGATTCCAGAATAATCATATGGTTCTAAACACGTGATCTATAGCCAACTAATCATTCCAGCACAACCAGTGTGCAAAAGTAGCCAGTATCGCAACAGCTAGGGAAACAGGAGAGCTACTTTGGACCTGAGCTTTGAAGCATATTTAATTAATAGTGTCTCCATGTTGTCTTCCATAAAGTCACTGAAAGAGCTGCAGTTCATTTACACTGACTTTAGATTCCTGGAGGTTGGGTCTTCAGGATTTAGTGATTTCCTTTCATCTTGCCCATTTCCTTGTGTTTCATTATATATTAGATCTTCCCTTATCATCCGAGGACTCCAGGCTTTGACACAGTTTGTAGAGCAATAAAATGGTATTTTTGAGGTTGCTAACCTGCTTAGAATCTTAAAACAGGGGACAGATTTGCATAGGGGATTTAAACCCACAGTTCAGAAAATTCTTCTTAAGATTTTCTATTTACAAATAGTTTGTAAGCTTTACTCATTTTTTTTAAGCTTTACTCATTTTTAAGAGAAAGGAGCAGAAAGGATTTTTAAAAAATTCCCTCAAGAGTCCTATATGCAGTGGTACACGGTGACTTTAGAGCACTGCAGTATGTAAATGCAGAGTTTGAATTTTCCTTCCAGCTTCTAATTGCTCTCTGTAGCTTTTGAGATTGAATTTGAGATTGACTTCAGGTAATCACATATATCAACAAAGGTTTTTGAGTAAAACTTCGCTGTGGGTTGAGTCACCTCAGTGAGGGGCAGGGTCAGGGTGGGGATGGGCTGATGAAGGGGAGGTTTACTGGTTTGAGACTACAGAAAGTTCAGAAAAAGCACTTTGAGGTGTTTTAGGAACTATGGCCCAGGGAAGAAAACTGTGTTAATAGGGTGTCTTAGCTCTGGTTACCGTAACAGAACAGCCACAGACAGCATGGCTTATGCAGCATTAGTTCTCAGGTCTGGAGACTAGGAAGTCCAGATTCATTAGCCGGTGAGGACCGCCTTCTGGCTTGCAGACAGCCACCTCCTTACTGTGTGCTCCTGTGGCCTTTCCTTGGTGTGTGCACTTGGAGAGATCTCCTCATGTCCCTTTGTGACACTGAAGGGCACTAATCCCTTCATAGGGGCTCCACCTCCGACCGTCACACTGGGGGTTACACAGGAATCCTTCAGGACACGAACATTCAGTCCATGACTCGTAAGCATAGTTTTGCAATTGCCTTGACATACTCTTTAGTAGACTACTAAAGATACTTTCTATCTCCCAGAGCTTGCCCTGGGCAAGGAGTTCAGCCTTCGTAGATCACAGAGGACCTGTGTTGCTTTGGTCACTGTGTTTAGGCCATTTTGAAGAGATGATTGGCTGCTCCTATAGCCAGTCAGATTGGGTTGCTTCTAAGCAACTTACTGTCCTCAAATGGATATGCTGATATCCAGGAACTGTCCTTTCTGATCACCAAGGAAATAAGACACCATTTACAATTAGAAGAGATTTTTATTTACTTATGAGAGTTTTGGTGAATTATAGGCAAGAGAGGGAAAAGTTGGTTTTGAAAGACACACATTCCCCCTTTGATTTGGTAGTAATCTTACCCTGACAGCATTTAATGTGAAGTCAGTGTGGCCAGAGAATAATCTTATTGGGGTTTAATTAAAAGCATACGGTTGTTGTTTTTTTTCCACATCTCTTTTATCTGTCTTGCTCTTTCTCATCTTTCTTCTGTCTCTTGTTCCTCTTCACTTCCATGTTCTCCCTACCCCTGCCCTACACTGCATCCTCTTCATCATCCTTTAACATTTAAAATGTTTTTGGCTTGGCTAATCCCTCTGGATAGAAACTGAGCTTAGCAGGATATTGATTACCAAATATGGTATTGCTGCTAAAGATGTTAGAGGAATGTGGCTTGTATTCTAAGCCTCCGGCCTCTGAATAAGCTGCCAAACAAATTAGGTCATTTTAACTTCTGAGTTTTTTTTTTTTTTTTTTTTCCTTTTTAAATAAGGAGCTGGAACTTTGATTTGGAACATGATGGTGGTGGTAACTCAGCTCAAACAGGGAGGAGGGGTATGAAGGAGGGGCAGGGAGTGGGGGGTACTTAGTTAAGCATGCTTTGGGACCTGAGCCACGAGAGCAGGTTGTGTAAGAGGCAGACACATTGTGTGCAGCCTCGATCAACTCTGGAGCATCCATGGAAGAACTGAAGTGTAGAATTCAGATGTGCAGCCTCATTCCCTCAGACTAGGAGCTCCGGAGGACCACTGACAGGTCCCAGGATGTTCTTCTTGTGTTACCCATGGTGCTCACGTTGATGTGGGCTGATAGGAAAGCTGCTTCTTCACAGGAAGGTTTGCGGAGTTGAGTGCCAGGGAGGACATAGCTGATAGGAGTATGCAAGTCCCTCCCCAGCATGCCTTTAAATGACAGCCAGGGACTGCACTTGTCTCCCAGCAAGACCACAGCTCTTCAGACCCATATTTGGAAATATTTACTGTGTTGTGATATTAGCTTTGATAGAGTGAAATGTTCTCAGTGGAAGTGAGTGGAAGCAAATGCTGCTTCAGAAGGCTGCCTTGTCTTTTGCTCTTTTATGCATTTTTGGCAAGGTGATCCTGAGGTTTCCCAAATTAAAACAAAAACTGAAACCAGTTAAAGAATTTCTTTTTACACTTTACATAGCTGGCACCCCCTTTGCACTTTTGGCATCGGTTAGTGCCATACAAGAGGACTCCTCTTCTTGCCCATCCCCACCTGTTTGCTGCCTTTAATTGGTTTCTTCTTAGGAAATGGATAGATCAGACTCACGAAGAAATTCCACCCACATCACGGGTCTCGGCTCTGTGGCATTTGTTGTACCTCCCTGAGGACCTTCCCCCCACCCCCACCTTATTTCTCTTACTGCTGTTACCATTCAGTCACAGGCTCTTCCTCTCCCATCTTTGGAGCTGAGCCTGCGAAGTTCAGAGTTGTTCATCCTGGTCTACAGAGTGAGAGATTCCTACTAATTTCTTGTGGAAATTGCTCTTTTCTTCAAGCTAGTAAAAGAAAAATGGGGCTTTGAGACCTACAGCCCCACTGTGTGTGCTAAACAAAAAACCTGTGTATTGTTAGGTCCCAGAATCCATAGCACTGGTCATCGATACCATGTGACTATTCATTATACTTAGTAATAGAAGCATTCTCGAATGGTGGGAGGGTTTCAGAACAGACTTATCTTGCCCTAAATCTTGTGTTTTACAGTGCTTGTGATTTATTTTATTGAATATGTTTTGGTTTAGATAAACTGCAGTAATAGGGTTAAGGGTAATTGAAATGACTGCCCTCCCTTTGACCCATATAGTCTGTTGTCCGTTTAGCCAATAAACCAGCTACAGTCAAAATCAGGACTGTGCCATATCAAGACATTCATATTCTATATAAGTTTATAAGCTAACTGGAATTAAATGATACTAGTTATATTGAAATCTTAAAACTGTTTAGTTCTTGTCTGCTTAATAACTCAGAGTACACATACTACTATTATGAAAGTTCTGCACTTAGAAGGGATGGTAATTCTCCCCCTGTAGAGGTGATGAAACTAAGGCATTAAAGAATTACATTGTTTTAAGTCACTGTCAACACTGGTCAGAGCCTTGCCTCTTTAGATTTTAAATGTTAAGACTTTAAAGTGTTGTGCAGTGTTTTACATTAATTTATTCTTATTGGTAGCTGTTAATTAGTTTTAAACTCTGATAGGAATTTGCTGGTCCAAATTTAAAATTTGAACCCGAAAGTTTTAGTCCAGGAAGAAAAGGAATAGTTGGAAAACCATGCATCTAAAATTTTAATAAAGTAAACTAAATCTTCCTGACTTTGCGGACATGGCTGCGTTAAGGGTTTCCCTGTGTTCTGTGTAAGCAGTGAGGATGAGAGCTCTCGCTGACCTTTTTTTCTGATGGGCCAGGGTTTACTGGTGTGTTTATTTTGTCACCATTCCGGTTTGACTCTAAGGAAATGAAAACATCTTCCATTTGTTCTTTATTTCCAAAGGGCATCCGCTTCGATCCTGAAATTCCGCAAACACTACGACTAGAGTTTGCTAAGGCAAACACGAAGATGGCCAAGAACAAGCTAGTAGGGACTCCAAACCCTAGTACTCCTCTGCCCAACACTGTACCTCAGTTCATTGCCAGAGAGCCATGTAAGTTGATCTACTTTTCATTTTGGAAAAAAAAAATAATAACTAAGAATTGTTCAAGTGCTTCATATGAGATTACACCACGGGACATAGAGTTGGCAGAGTGTCATTTTTCCATTTCTGTGAAGAGGCTGCCTATTCTTGCTGTCTGAATTCCAAATACAGCAGTCTTGTTCATGATTGGCTGTCCCAAAAGAAGGTTCAGCTTGATCAGAACCGTGAATACAAAATTTCATTTTAAGCGCTGTAGATTTCCTTATTATGAATATGCCCTATTTGCTTTGGGGTATAAACCCTTCTTTATTTCACTGTCCTTGGACATAAGAGCTGGTTCTTAGCATTCACTTTGCTTCATTTGTTGAATATCAGTTTTGTGGCTTTGGAAAAATAGAATATTAAATGTGAAATGAGCAGATAATAAATTCTCTTTTTGAGAACATTTTAGCCATAAATCTAAAGGAGAAAGTAAACATACATAAAGAAGTTAAATATTAGAACAGTCAGTTCTAACAAACTAATACCAGTAAAGCTTTAAGGAAATTTGGTGCTTCCTGTTTTAAATTAATTGAAGAAAGACACTGACTAATTGTAAGACAAGTCTTTTACCCCACCTAATGAGCTTATTCCCTTAAATGTCCAGGCTATAATTTCTACCTTTGATTGAATAACTTGAAAAGATTATCTTAGTTTTTTCTCAAGCTCAATCAGTAGCAGAAGTGAGGCGTGAGATAGGCCTTAACTTCTCCTTTCAGTGCATTGCCGCATGTGATTTAATATGGCAGGGCATTCAAGGAGTCCCAAGTGGCTTGTGTTATTTGGAATATTTCTATCCTATCGTTCTTGATCTTCTTTCCAAACCACATGATTTTGATCTTCTTCCTGCTTTCCCTGACAGGACGCTTTAGCTTTTCTGATTGAAACTGAAGGGCACATGGGTTCCTTTTTCCCCCATGTCATGTGTGTATCACATTTAATCGGGTTGTTGTGGAAGTTACAGTTATTCTGTAGCTCAGTCACTCTTGAAAAAGCTGCTGCTTGTCAGTGGAAACTAATAAAGATAAAAGAAGAGTTTCTTCCCCAGTGTGATCTACAGTTTTCTGTGAAGCCAGGAAATCATAATAGGAAAAAACATTTTGTTCTTCTGTGTCCTGGGGAAACTTAAAACTTTTGTTTATTTGGGAAATCTAAACAAAAGTTTCTTTGTATGGTGTAGTTGCGCTACAGGAGGACATATTGACATTTCTTACTAATTCTGTATCTTTCACAGCCTCTAGCTCAGTGCTTTGTATATTGTATACATTGAAAAATATTTATTAGTGATGATAAGTGTATAAATTTAACATTTTAGTTTGGCTGTTTGCAGAATTATTCCATTTGTATGCCTCTTGATTTCTTTCTGAAATGTCTTTTCTCTGCATTAAGACATCAGAGAAGAGTATTTGTAGGATGCCTTGACTTAGACAACCTAGAGTAAAGCTTCACTTTTCTGGTGAATTTGCACGTCTCAAATCTTAGTACTTTGAAATTAGTTCAGAGAGGAAGTGTGACGCTGGCAGTACTTTATCCTTTCAGTTCTTTATTGAATGCTTTTCTTTCTAGGAGCTTGGGTTTTTTGTTTTTTTGTTTTTTTTTAAATAAATTTGCTACAACGGCTCTGTGAAGTAGTTAGCCAGGGAGGTGATAGCCATTTCACGACAGGATACCTAAAAGCAACAGAAATGAACAAAATGGACATCCTAAAGTCCCTGAAGTTACAGGAGACCTTAGAGTAGAGTTTAGAACCCCGCTCTGGCCGGCTGTGCCCACCTCCTTTCCCTGTGTACAGAACTGCTCAGAAGCGGTCAGATAGTTTCCATAGCAGGGTCAACATTTGCCTGGCAGCTCATGAGGCAAAACAAACTTGAAGTTTAAAAAAATCCCGAACGGCAGGGTATTCTTGAGAAAATAAGTTAGCATGATTTCTCTTAATATAGCTCCTTTTTATGACATAGGGGCCTTGATGGACAGCAGTTCACTGTGACTCAGATCGACCTTATCATCCTTTACAATTCCCTCTGGGAATTGTGAACTTTTCTGACACATATGCAGAATTCTTATTTTCCTGGAAGCACATCACAGGCTAAGAACATTGCCATAGATCTGTACTGGCGAAACCAGTTCCATTGTGCCCATAATTGGTACTCGAGGTGGTCGGTTTAACTACCTGTCAGGAGTAGACTGATGGAATCATGGAATGTTGTAGGTGGAAAAGGCCTTGTAGGCTATGAGAGAGAGCTTTTTATAAATGCTTTTTCTGTGTATGTTTTTTATATGGTGATGGCTGAAAAGTATCCATTGCCATCACTAAAGGAAGAATGTACTCTGATTCAGTCACACAACAAATATTTACTTGAACTCTCATTTCTCAGATATCTGTTGGACTTAAATGAGTACCCAGTGTACTAGACACTGAGGAAGACAGGGAGTGTGGTTCCTGCCCTAAAAGAGCTGTCAGTACAAGGGGCTGGTGTTGATCAAAGTGGTCAGGAAACTTGGCCCATATAAAGGATGCAAAAGAGACTCCTTGCAGTTTAGTCTAGATTGCCCCAAATCAGACTTCATTATTTGCTGAGTGCCTGCTCTGTGCCAAGCATGGAGGATGAGAAAATCAGGTACTGCAACTTGCAAAGGTGGCCTTGGCCTTGAGATGTCTGTGAGAGTATGGGTTCTGCCAGTTACTGTCAAGCTGTGTACCCTTAAAGAAAAATTCTTAACTTTGCTGTGCTCCTGTTCCCTCGGCTGTAAAATGGGAATAATACCTTCTTCACCTGGTTGTTATGAGAGCTAAATAAAATGATGTAAGATTGTGTTGAGGATTAAATGGGTGTAATATATGTAGAGTACTAGGCAAATGTCGAGTACCATCTTAGTTTTTAAAAAATTGAGTTACTTTTCTTTCCCAATGTTAAAAGTAGGTATTGATCTTTTGAGGTATTATCAGTGTGTGGTTATAGGCATTGTCTTTGCAAATTAGGAGAAAGGGTAAGTGAAATTCATATACAATCCCAGGAAAGTAGTATACTTCCCTAACTGAATGTTTATTAGTTTGAACTTCTCTTTTCTATGTAATGAAGAAAAATACTCCAAAAAAAAAGCAAGAACTTAAGTGATGAAGAAAACTTATAAATAATATAAAAATTCTGCTAGATTATGCATTTGGTTATACAGGAAGGTAGTGTTCTGTAGTGTAAGAACGCCCACTTTAGAGATGAACACAGGGCAAGTCACCATCTCACTGAGTTTTGTTTTCCTCATCTGTAAAATGATGATACTGTGTGTCAGACACTCTGCCAAGCATTTTACATGAATTACCCCCCACTTGATTCTCAATAGCACTATTTTACAATTGAAAAACCTGAGGCCTAGGTAGGTACAGTAACATTCTTGAGGTTACATAGTCATCAAGTGTCTTTAGTTGAATTGTGTCCTCCCCACCGAAATTCATGTGTTGTAGTCCCAACCTGAGGGTCACCTCCAAATGTAACCATATTTGGAAATAGGGTCTCTAAAGAGGTGATTAAATTAAAATGAGGCTGTTAGGGGGGAACCCTAATCAAGAAGAAAAAGAGATGTCAGGGATATGCTCACACAGAGAAAAGGCCATGTGAGGACACAGCCAGAAGGCACTGTGAGCCACGGACAGAGGCCTCAGGACAAGCCAAACCTGCATGGACTTTGAGCCTCAAGAATTGTGAGAAAACTAATTTCTGTTGTTTAAGCCACCCAGTCTGTGGTATGCTGTTACAGCAGCTTGAGCAGACTAATACGTCTAGTGGTGGAGCCTGAATTTAAATTCTGGCCTGTCACTTACTAGTCTTGTAACTTTGGTCTAATTACTTAATCTCTCCGGGCCTCAGTTTTCTCGACTATAAGATGGCAAATTAGTTGACAGATGTGAAATTTAGAAGAGGGTCCACATAGTGATTCCTCTGTGGCTGTTCATGTGTGTGTGTGAGAATGTATGTCTATGTGCCTTTTTGTCTCTTGTTGTGAGACCTGTTGTTTTTCTGCCTTTTGTATACTCTGTATCCTAGCACCTAGAAATACACATGGAAGTTTTTAAGATACCACAGATATGATTTTATGCTTTATTATTTGGAACTTCTTAAATTCAGTGTTATTGAGTATGACTGGGCTATGATAAAATGTGCATACTTAAAAGTGTCTAATTTGGTAAGCTTTGTCATAATACGCATTGAATTTAATTGAATGAATGCTCTTGATCTGTTTGCTTTGCAGCATACCCTATTACAGTAGTGCCCTAAAGGTGGAGGCAGCCAACACTTAACAGAGCCTTTACTCAAAAAGGACAGATTCTCCCCTTTCAATTCAAATTTTATGGAGCAAATATCAAAAGGTTCTAGAACTTTGCAGTAATTCAGATTCCTGTGGTCCAGCCTCAAGGAATCTAATACTTTGGGTCTGGCCTAGGGCTCACGCTCTGTATTTTTTAAAAGCTCTGGGTGATTCTGTACACAGTCGTGTTTGAGAATCACCAGCAGAGCAAGGAATTGTCAAGTTAGGTTCTCCTTCCTACTCACACACTTTCTTCACTGACCCTAGCACCACCCCTGACCCCTCCTGCTAAAGAAAACCAGTGCCCTGTCAAACTGATGCTCTTATACCTGGTAAGCACATAGCCCTTTGGTGAATAATCAGTCAGACCACTTCCTAGCTTTCCTGCCACACCATGGAATTTCCCACTAGTCCAGTACTGACCCCAGCTATCGGAAGTGAGTTTTCTGTCTCATGTCTGAAGAGATCCTGTGAAAGTTCAGGAAAGCTGTAAAGTTCCTGGCAAGTGCCCTGCCAGGGACAACACCCAGCAAATATGAAATCTCTTAACCTTCACTTCTGTGGGGTGGGGGCCTTCCAGGGCCTGGTCTGATGCTCCCTGTGCCCAAGAGATAGAGCCAAGATACCTGCATTTTCCAGGGCAGGGTGCACAGCATGTGCCATTTGGA